GTGTGCCCTTGGCAGTCTCAGAAAGTGCTCCACATTCAGACGGAGGAATGCACCGGGTTCGACTGTCTTTCTAGCAGCTCTGTAGCCCCATCCACGAGTAACGTTTCCACGTCAGGTGTTATGTATGCTAGCAGCAACACACAGAGTTAACTACATGATACAAACATGGGTTAATGATTAGAGGAAACTGAGTTATTTATTTTGTTAAAGTTTCAGCTATTCTGTTTACAGTACTGTCATTAGATTATTTAATACCATTTGTGAAAACATTGTTGTTTCTTTTTGATGTGAAATATTATTTATTTAATTTAAATAAAAAGCTATGCTAATTTTGTTCACAATTTGTTTAGTTAGTTTACCTTATTTTTTTCTCCAAAAGAACCGATAAGAGTACCGTTAAAAGACCGGACCGATAAGCGGTATCGATAAAAGTAGTAGTACCATTAAAACCTTAACGATACCCATCCCTAGTGTTCATATCTCCGTATTAAACAGGAAAGACTTCAGCAAAAAGTATTTATTCAAACTTCTGAAACAACCTTCCCCATGGCAAACTGTGCCGCCAACTGTCAGCATGAAAACATAGACTCTGCTGAGGTTATGAATGCTTATGTTTTCTTTATTCATGAAGTGGAGCGTGGCTTTAGGCTGGAGTTTAAGTTACTCGGCTGCATTCAAAGCCAACCCAGTACAGTTTAGAGAGTATTAACCTGCCCTAACTGCTACATCCCTACCGATACTTCTTACTTTTTGTCATCCAAACAAGACACTACATGTTCATTAATGTGCTACTGAAAATAAACCCCAACAAATACACTTGTTCTGCTTGTTTGAGTAATCACATAGCAGTTTGTCTTTTTCTGAACTTTTCATTTCCAAGTTCCCTTTCATTTCCTCTCATGGGTTTAAAAAGATTAATTTGTTTTTTTACGATGGAATTTGTTTTCGGAATATTGGTGTTTCAAGACATTTCAGAACAATAGGCAGTCCCCTCATTGCAGAGGGTTAGAGGAGGCACTGGTATTAGCATGCTTTTGTTTTAAAGTCTGGAAGCAGGGGGGTCACCTGGCTCTGTCCAAAGTTTAAAAAAAATCATCCAACCAGCACCTCTAAATGTGACATATTACTCACTTGCTGGAAATATTTAGTTCTACTTAGCAAACTGATTTTAGAGCAGCGTTCAACAAACAAACTGGGTGTACTGGACCCAATGTTTCCTTTCAGGATAGGCTCTCTGATCCAGCAACTTTGAGTTGTTTCTCCTGGAAGCTGATGGACCTTAAAGGTTAACAGAAACTTCCCTGATCTGAAATAACATCCTGCTAAGCTCTGATAAAGGCTCAAGGTATCAGTAGTTTACTGAGCTGCTACAAAGACTCAGACCCGCTCACTCTTCTAATGCCAGGTTTACTGATAGCACCACTCTATAAATGTTATCAGCAGCTGATCACTTTGTATTGTAGTAGTACGGAAAATAACCATAGAGCTTTTCTCTTAATCTCCATGGCAACAACCCCCTCTGCCCTGACAGGAGGAGGTGGCTCGCCTGGCCTCGCTGCAGCCTCAGGTGGATCTTCTGGAGAAGCACATGAAGGAGCTGAAGGAGGAGAAGGAAGGGGACGAGGACCCTTCAGCTTTCCTTGACGCTGACATCAGTGCCTTCAAAGAGCACTACCGGCAGGTGCTGGAGGACCTGAGGGCCAGAGAGAGGCAGCTGCAGCTGGGTAAGAGAGTGCAGAGTTAACCTTTGTTACTACACCTGGTGCTCCCTGCCGGATAATGAACTCTCTATTTGAGGAGTAGGTAGGTCAATTCTAGTAATAATAGGAAAGGAATCAAGAACAAGACCATTTCAAAATGCATGTCCTAACACCATCCACTTCTTTTTACTTTGTAGAAAGAGTTTAAACTTATGGGTTTAAAATGAGTTATAGTTGACCTCGTTTGCAGTTGGAGGTGTTCTGCGTAAGGTTTTACAGACGTTGCTTCATGGCGTTTTTATGGTTAATTAGATTGTGATTTACCTAAGGCCCCCTCTGAGGAGCTCCACACCCTGACAGCTCCCACCAGATCATGCAGCAAAGCAATCTACATTCTCCCGTAAAATAAAACAAGGAAAATCTCACTTAGACTCTCTAGTTTTCTGTCATCCTGACTCTAAACACGCTTAAATTAAATGTCTCAAAGCCAATTTTAACACTGATTTACAAGTCGAGTGACTCATGTGTGAACGGTCTGCTAGCACTCACCCGTGTGGTTACACCTTCTCACCTGTCTGCATGCTGAGAAGAGGGTGACTCATTGGTTCCTATTTGTCGTGCTACTCTCACTGTGTTAAGATGCTCCCTGTGAAAACATTGACAATAAGACTTAATGAGATAGAAACATGAGCTGAAAGCATCGCCCATCAGGAACAGAATAACCAAATGAGACAGACAAAACGAGAGCGCACAGCTATTTATAATCATGGGGAGTACAGTGATTGAAAAGAAGGAGAAAAGTAAAAGAATAGTCACTGAGAAAATTAAGAAGGAAGAGGAAGACTAGAGAAAGATGCTGACAGTCTGCTTTTTTACTCAGTCAGACAGCTTCTTCCACACTCTGCACTTTTATACATATCCAATACACATATTTAACCACTCACACACGGATAGATATAGCAAGATGAATGATATAGATTTAAATTCAGTTCAGAAGCAAATAGAAAATAATTGACCTGAAAGAATTCCACAAAAACTACTTTCTCCTCTAGAGTCAAGTCAGCACATTTCAGTTGAAATCATGGAAGCTTTTTAAGAAGGAATAGAAAAGTCATACATTAAGCCTTTGCCTTTTGCAGCGCTCCGCCTACAGCCTCTCTGACATATCTCTCTGTGTGCCTCTAGTTTTGGAGAGCTTGCCCCCGGCTCGTTACAAGGAAACTATAGCCACACTGTTGGCATGGCTACAACAGTGCGAGGCCAAGCTGTCCATCCCATCCACGGCGGTTACAGAGCATCCTGTGATGGAACAGAGACTTACGGACGTCCAGGTGAACACACGCACTCACACTCTGTCTGCAGATCATGTGTTAACATCTGGACTTAGAATAACAACAGCTGAGCTTATGCGCTGCTTTAAATTCAGCATTGTAAAAACAAACATTACTATGGGCTGTTGACTGTATTATTATGTACATAGTTACTCATTTATCTCCATTGAGCTGTAGTGGTTGTGTTGCAGCTGAAAGGGAAAGCATATCGAGCTCCAATCTATTCTCCATTAAGGAGCTAGATGCATAAAACTGAGAAAGTGTTTGCATTTATTCAGCTTTTGCTTAAACTTAAACCAGCATGAAGCGCTTAGCCTTACTCACCACGCTCTTACTGACCAACTTCTTTTTGATCGTACACTTTAACACGTCAATACTTACCAACTTCGTTCAGATTATACTTTTCAATGTGTAACTTCTGCTATACACAACAGAACAGTGCTTAAAGTATAAGAGACTGAGACTTACTTGACCTCAGAAGACCCTGATACCCAAGCCAAAGGTCGCTCATTTTCCAGGCTATGGGTGACGATTGTCGCCATCGGTTTTTCCAGTTTCTTTTCAATATTTTCCCGTGTTCTCGCTGAGATAAACCGCCCTGATTGGCTGTTCAGCTTAAGGGAGTTGTTTGTGCTAGCTGGTTGTTAGCTGTAGCCCTGCAATGTATTCATTTATTTGGCAAGCTGTAGGCGACGTGAGTTGGCTTACGTCTCCAATCCTCCACTACTTTGTCAGTTTGGTGTTTCTGGGCTTTTATACAACTGACATTTCAACTGCATTTATTTTCTAATCTTGAACTCTATGAATGAAGTTCATTGTTGTTCACCCTTTATCTCAATGTTCATGTGAACTGCATTCATCTCATACTTTCAAACTTTCATATATTTCAAGTTATACTTTAAATTAGAGTTCATCACTGACTGTCCATCTCACAGTTTAACTGCTTCCACCCACAATCCTTCAATGAGATTCAACTGCTCTCAGTGTTTTCACATCGACTGACATTTAGACTCTTACTCCTCAACTCATGCTTCAACTGCTTTCAGATATTACTGTACACACATTTAAACTACCAATTGCACATGACCTTACATTTGAAAAGCCATCATGTTTTATTCTCTAACTCACATCTCAACTTATTATTTTTTTATTTCTTCAACTGCTCAAACTCAGAAAAGCTCAACTTGTTAAGATATTTGAGATGATCAGTTAACATGTGATATAGTTGAGTGAAGGTTAGCATAATGGCAGCCCACTATCTGGTATGAATCACAGGTAATTATGCTGTTATGTGGCTATTCTATAATCCCATCATCCACCAGGAGTCAACAGTGTAAGCACGTGACAACACTGCTCCTAAGATCGATACACAAATTCCCATAAAACCCCAAAATGGTGCCGGCTCTATCGTCCTGTGGGCCTGTGTAACAGTGTAATCAGTTTTTTACGAGGAGCTGTAAAGTTATACGGCCGCTGGCGATGCCAAACTGCCAAAGCAGCACTCTTTTAAAGGATGCTTTTCTGCGTCTCTTTGAGGAAACAGGCAGAGGATAAAGGAGGGAGAGAAAGCAGATGAAATGCACCATTAACCAAGACGCTGATTCATAGCCACAACCTGAATCTGATACACAGGGGCACCCCTAAATCACTGTAAACATTAAACCCTTTGCCAAAGTGTCCTTTAAAAAAGACTAAGTGTAAACAGCAAAGGAGTTTTTTAGGAAGCACATTACAGATTATACATATTTCTCCTAAATTGTGGTTTCTGGAAGGCCACTCGAATGCACAAATCTCAAACTATGGCTGTTTCCATAAGTGGAAAATAATGTGCTCTACTTTGGCCCATCCTTCAACTTTCCAGCAAGTTTCATGAATATAGAGCCACTAGTTGTTCCTTTGACAATGATATTTGTATAAGGAAACGGCGCTGTTGTATGAGAGACCAGCTTCGCCTGCTTGGATCTATCATCTGTTTGTGCTACTTTAAACATGTTGACATAAGACACTGGTGCTCAGAGAAAGCCGGTATGTGGAGCTTTTTATGGAAGTGATATCCCATAGTTAACATATTTTCTCTAAATTATTTCCGTTCCCAAAATCCACTTTTAAGAATGAAAACATCTTATATAAGTACCAAGAAGCTAATACAATCCTCCTTAAAGCCCTTAATATACAAACTATAGATATAAGTTACTTCTTAAATGTAAACCCTGCTGCAGTTTCACTTCTGTACGCTGTAGCCTGTATTTACAAAGCAGCAGCAAGCTCAAATCTATATTGTGAAACCCCCAAAACAAGCAGGGAATTTCAATTTCAGTGCAAATGTGTGATTTAGTGGAGCCAGACTTCCATCTGCTTAACATGCAGAGAGCAGGTCTGCTGTGTGTGTGTGTGTGTGTGTGTGTGTGTGTGTGTGTGTGTGTGTGTGTGTGTGTGTGTGTGTGTGTGTGTGTGTGTGTGTGTGTGTGTGTGTGTGTGTGTGTGTGTGTGTGTGTGTCTACAACTCTGCAATTATGAGAGGCGGGTGAGAAAATCCCAGGAGAGCAAATCAGTGTCTCTGTTTAGCACAATATCTGTCTACACACAAACACCAGTGAGTCAGAATGCTTACAATACAAAGGTGCGTACTCACACACACTCACACACACACACACACACACACACACACACACACACATATTCTTCATTTTGTCAGTGTTTATCGGTATTTCCATTCAAACACACACTTTGTAGTTGTTTTAGAAGGGTTGGTTTATATCTTGTGTGTGTGTGTGCGTGCGTGTGTGTGTGTGTGTCCCCTCTTTAAACTGGATAATGGTCTTGTGTCATAGCAGGGAGATGAAGCCTTGTAGCCGGAGATTAATTAAAGTTGATTGTAGATAATAATTAGGAATTCATTCTGCATACTGATGAGCTGTCATTAATTTTCACCACAACTCTTTCCCCTCTGCTCTGAGACACTTCAGCGTGTGTGGTTAGAAACGGTTCTTTTTTTACCCAGGTGACGGTATCTCCCCTCGCACTATTTCATTAAAATAATGAGTTTTTGTCAGGTGGGAACTTTGCTAGAATCCTGACCTCGTGTTTCAAAATACAAAACTATAGCAGATAATGGTTGAAGTGAGTGACAGATGATTATTAATATCCTCCACAGCTACTGGTAGATATTATTAAAGACCTTAAAGCAGCATTAAATCACTACCTATAATCAGGCGTGATTTTGCTGTATGGATCCGTAAGTAGGGATGGGCTGTATAGATATATTGATGTAGGACTCTAGTTTACTTCAGAACACTTACACACATTAGATTTGAAAATGAGATATTGAGTTTAAACCTTTACATAGACATAAAAAGTTAAAGTAAGGATGTGTAATCAAAAGATAAAATAAATATATTTATATGAACATAAGGAGTTAAAGTCACATTTCCCAGTTTGACTGATTCATTCAGACCATAAAGCATCACAGCTCATTTTCCCAGTGAACTACAGATATGAAAGGGTGGCAGCACCAGGCGTCGCGTTAACCGAATAATTTCCGGATTTTTTTTTAACAATGACGGAAAAATCTGAAAGCCGTCCGTCATTTTGACAGATTAGAACAAACGCAGAAAAGCGCCAAAGTTTCCCCGCTGCAGGGCTCCAGTATTATGCCGTGTCATGCCAAAAGGAAATGATATCGTTTCCAAACCTAACGTTGCCGAACAGATTAAGTATTTGCTTTACGCTGTGCGCGTTCCCGCGAGGTGCTGTGTGCATGCATAACACGGCGCTAACAGTTCATGAGCGAGCGAGCGTCCCGTCCCCCGTTGACAGCTCACCAGCGTGCTCTCTCCCCCCGGCAGAGTTGTGTACAGGCCGACAGGTAATAATGGATTTTGACGAACATTTTGCGATCTTGTCCGTCAAAATGGGCAGCGAAAAAGTCTAGCGCAACCTCTGGGCAGCACTGTAGAAAGAGAGCGTCCTCTTGAGACAAACGGCAGCAGTGGTCATTTGTAAAAATGCCAGAAACAACTCATGTCTACCTGGCAAAAACCTCCTGTGGCAGAGAGAATTATAACTGTTGTCAGGCCGGTAGTGTGACGTTGTCATAGCACCACAAGCTAATCCAGAGACAGTGACTTGGAAATAGGAGACCATTGTTTTATCTCTTAGAGACTATAATCAGTTTTGTCTGATGGTGAAACAGATGCTTGGGTTGATAACTCATCTTTTTAGCATCAACTAACATGACAGAATTGCATTAAACAAGGCCTTTTTGTGACTTAGGTAAAGTAAACTCTCTATTGTCTAACGTCATCATATTACACAACGTTACCCTATTGGAGTAAGGCTGTCCATCGACGTTGACATTGTGATGTCTCACCCTCTAACCTTTCCGTTGTACCGTTAGTGAAAGTGAAAATTGAAGTAAAGAAACAGGCTTATCCATGTGCTCTCAAATGGAGCTTGGTACAAGTTGAAAGAGAGAAGGAAAGAAAAGGAGAAGCCCTTTGAGCAGAACCTTGGAGTCTCTAATGCTTCCTTGCTTTGGATTCGGTGTTGCAGCAGAAGGATTGTGGGTAAGCCATAGTAACTGACGGATGTCCCGTCCAGGAGCTGAGCTAGAACTGAGCTAAACTAAGCCTCTGAGCCACCTCTGTGTGAACGAGGCTTTCTTCCCGAAATCTTCCACTGCACGCCAGCTAGAGTTCACCGGGAATTCCCTCACCTCTCCACTTATCATTCATCCCGCACTGCAGGCTAAGCAAAATCAAACAGTGTGAAAAGGCTTTCATTGCAAAATGTTAACAGTGGCAGCCTCATATCCTCTCATGCTCGTCATCCCTCACTCTCCCATTTCCCCCCCGCTCAATAAATACTGAGTAATGTTACGGACAAGCTTTTGAATCGAGTCTTTTTCTCCATGGCATTTACGCCACTTACGCTAGAACACGTGATAGATGGTAATTGGATAACTCGTTTATGGATATGGGTCCCTTCTGCGTTTGTTGATACATGTGTGTTTTATTTATCTTTTTATTTATTCTGGACTACAGAGGAGGCTTAGGGCCGCATGTGAATTCTCTTTTTAAATTTGACCTCAGTGATCTTTTTTAGTTCTGTGAAAAAAGTCGGAATTCTGATTTAAATATCGGAATTTTGACTTTATAGTCACAATACTACTTTCTTACTCCGAATTCTGGTTTTACTCTTAGAATTTACTTAAAGGCAAAAAATGCACTTTTGTACGTCTTCTATACATGAACATGTGTCCCCGGTGTTCCAGGGAACTCACCAAGTGACAGAAAACACAACCCTCTCTATTTTCCTCCATACCCAAATCTCTTAAAAAGGGGCTGCAATGGATCTGATACAGACTGATCCAGATTTGAACACTTCTATGACGTCACAAAAGTGGCACTACGGCTATTGGGCCAACTCCACCAATCAGGAGGAGACAGCCACGGACATTGCCGTTTAAAGCGCTGGAGACGCTGTACATATGCCAGGCCTGTAGATGGTGCTGTTCTCACAGAATCAGCCCATGAAAAGACTGTTAAATTGAGTGAAATAAGGAATGGCTAAAATGCATGATCTGTTTGGTATTTTGAAAAATAAAAAGTATAAATATGCCTTATATAGGTATGGTCCTACACTATATTATTCAAATATTGCATGATAGGTCCACTTTAAGGTCAGATCCAAAATAAATTCACATGTGTCTCTAGTCCTCTTTTATAACTAGTACTTTCTCAATCTAAACTTCCATTGCCCCTCCTCATTATTTCTCTGTCTCTCCCCCCCCCCAGGCCCTGAGGCCCTGCAGGTGGCTCTGGCTGAACACCAGGGGGAGGTGGACTACCTGACCTCCACTGTGGAGCAGGTGTTCCAGAAAGCACCAGCAGACATCAGCCAAAAGTAAGACATGGAAAATAAAGAGTGCTGTGTAATCTATTGAAGGAAAGGATTACACAAAATAGATTGGGTGCAGATTCCAGTTGTGATTTACTAGAAAAGTCAGTAAATCTGTGTCGGAAACGACCGCTACTGTAATGTTTGGTTGAATGAACTCAAATCAAAATTGTCTTAACCCCTGTCGAGTGTATCTGATGTGTTTTTTATTTGCACCTCTCCTTATTGATCTATTTATCCGTCTGCTTAGGCTCTGTGCAGGCATAAAAGCAAAGTCGATGCCCAATAAAAATGGTCTGAATATAAAAAAATAAAGTTGTGTAGAACTTGTAAAGCTTAGGTAAACATATATTCCATGTCACAAGCCAATTGTGAGTTTCTGTGATTTCCTGCAGGTATCGCATCGAGATGGACGGCATCATGGCGCGGTGGAAGCGACTCGGCACGACGCTGACAGACAACGCCCAGAAACTCCAGGAGCTCATGGCCAAACTGTTGCAGTTTGAGGTGAGATTTATAACGGGGATCGCTATATGTTGCTTAGAAGTCTAGCTTACTAAGGTGAGATATCTTTAATCTCAATACTCGTTCTTGTCTCGCCAACAGAATGACGTTAAGACTCTTAAGAAGTGGATGGCAGATGTGGACGTGTTCCTGAACGAGGAATGGCCAGCCCTGGGAGACTCTGAAGCTCTGGAGAAACAGCTGGAGCAGTGCACGGTGAGGAAAGCATCCAGACCTTACTTCAAAGTCTTATTTTAACAGTTTCCCTTTCCTGTCATCAGCTGCGTAAAGCCTGAGGTCCAAGCTGGGCAAGCCTAACTTTAAAGGACAACGAATGACAAGGAAATATGGCAATGTTCTGAATATTTTGCATTCTAATTGACTAGGCTTTGGTGAATGACATCCACACCATCCAACCCAGCGTCAACGGCATCAACGAAGTGGGTCTGTACCTAAAGAAAGAGGCCGAGCCACCCTACGCTGTCCACATCCAGAAGGAACTAGACGACCTCAACGCCCAGTGGGAGAACGTCTGCAAACAGGTGCGGACCCCTCATCCAGAGGTCGTGTTTTCCTGCTTTATGTGTCCCTACACCTTTTAAATGTTTTTCTTTACCTCCGTCTAGGCCTACGCCAAGAAGTCGGCCCTGAAAGGAGGCCTCGACAAGACCATGGCTCTGAGGAAGGAGATGCAGGAGATGCAGGAGTGGATCAACCAGGCGGAGGAGGACTACCTGGAGAGAGACTTCACGTACAAGACTCCTGAAGAGCTGCGCAAGGCTGTGGAGGAGCTCAAGGTGTGTGAAGCGGACAGTAGACTGCTGCTCCTGTGAAAGTAGTTCCTAGAGTAAAAATCACATTTGTTTTAGTCTGAGAGTAATGATCACTATTTCTTTGCAATTCATTCATACTAAGATACAACAAATGTTGTTGCACCATGGCTCATAAAGGAGGACTTCTCTGCTGAGTAAGCCTCAGAAAGGGCTGACTCTGACAGTGTTTTATTTATGTCTGTAGACCATTATATCTTTTGTGAACTGAATTATTAATATTTACAATGATTTGCAGGCATAGACAGATTTTCAATCAAAAAGGCACAAAGTTGTGTAGATATCAAATCTCTTTAAATGTACATACACTGTACACAGATATACCTATTTTTGTTATTTTTCTGCCGTAATTGTGACTATAAAGGGATTTACATCTTTATTCACAGTACAGACTCACTGACCTTTCTGCACCTGCTTCTCCCTGTCCCTCTCTTCTGATCCTGGTTCATTCCTTATCGATAGCCCCCCGTCTGCCTCTCTTTTCATTGTGAAGAAAAACACTTATTTCGGTCTTTATTTACTTCCCTCTCTCTGTATTCTTCCCTCACAGCTCTGAGTCTAACCCCCTCTCCTCTCTCTTTGTGTCCATAACTCAATTTCATATCAAATTGCATAAATTCCCCTATTCCCCGCTGCACCTTCATAACCCTAATGCGATGTATTTGTGATGTAAATGTATATCCTTTGTTAATAAACCCAAAAGCCTTGGCAGTAGTAGCCCCCTTCCATTCACCCGCTTGAAAAAAGTTTACTTGAGTCAAGTTGAAAATGAAAAATGGATTTCACTCTGCTTGCTCTTGCTAATCCCTCCCTCCTCCTCTCCTCCCTCCTCGCCTCCTCCTCCCCTCCCCCTCTCTGCTCCAAGCTAAAGGAAACTCCATTGGTGAATCTGTTCAGTCGCTTACTCTCCAAACCCCCCCCCCTGCCTGGTTTGGGAAAGTGTTAGCTTCATTCATTGATTCGTTGCCTAGGTTGTTCCCTCCGTCTGTCTCTGTCCCTTTACACTGTGGCTTTGTCAACTGCAGACACATTGATTCATTTGTTTGTGCATCCGTCCCTCCTTCCATTAAGCCTCTCTGTCTCTCTCTGCCCTTCTTCCTTCTCTTGCTCTTTCATTGACTTCTAAAAGATCCTTTTTGTAACATGCTTATCAATAAAGCGGTGCAGGAATGAGTCCTCAAACAGTATCCTGAAATCATACGTCATCACTGCACCGCTATGCAATTGGAATCAAGTGTTTTGAACAGACTGACAAACATCCCTTACTCGATCTTCCTCAGAGGGCCCAGGAAGAGGTCCACTCCAAGGAGCTGAAGGTCAAACTCCTGACTGACAGTGTCAACAGTTTCATCGCCAAGGCTCCCCCCACGGCCCATGATGCCTTGCGGTCTGAGTTGGACGTTTTGACAGCTAACTACCAGCGCCTGTGCAGCCGGCTGGATGGGAAATGTAAAACACTGGAGGTAAGAACTTTCTCAGTGATCATTTGGAAGTGTTTATCAAACATTCTCGCCATGCTTAGGTAAAGACAAAGTGGGAAAAGAGAAAGTGTGTGTCCATGTGTGTGTCCATGTGTGTGTCCATGTGTGTGTCAAGGCCAAGGCGGTAGTGTACAAAATAAATCAGTTTGTGAACGTACTCAGTGACTTAGTAATTGTAAGCTTAATCAAAGTATAAAGTACATTTTGATGAACACAAGGTGGTTAGATGTTTCTTAAAGTGATGGGGATATGAGCTCGATAAATACATGTTCTTCAGAAGAAGATATTCATTATGAAAACGGTGGAGAAGACTGTGCTCTGTGGTCTGGAGGCAGACATCTCAGAGCAGATCGATAGTGCAAGACCCCCCCCACGGCAAAATATCACATCTTTGGTTTTAATAATTGACTTTCTCTTGTCTTTCATACTTTTGTTATTTACTTTTAATGTTCTTATTATTCATAAATATCCTTTTTTACTTTATTTGATCTTTTTATTGCACCTTTGACAGACTTTGTCCTGTGTGAAGAAACTTGTGCCATTTGGAACCTATTTTTCAAATGAGCTTCATTTCACAATTAGAAAGCCAACTCAATCACTTAGCCAGACAGAGGCAACTGTTGCTAATTTGCAGACTGGAACAAACTCATCAAACATGTTGATGTTGAACAGATGTTGATATGACGGCCTGCACCAACGCTGAATAAGTGAAAATGAAAAACTGGTAGTCGTGGGCTTTCAAATTTACGGGGGAAGTTCTCTCTTTCACTATCCGTCTTTTCCTGCACCGTTCATCTTCCCAAATGTCAAAAATGTTCATCTGTTTTCTTAAGAATCAATTCACTGCTGCATTTCCTCTGTGTGTGCCTCCCTGTGTGTTTGCAGGAGGTGTGGGCGTGCTGGTGTGAGCTGCTCTCCTACCTGGAGCAGGAGAACGCCTTCCTGGACCAGCTGGAGCAGAAGCTGGACGAGACGGAGAACCTGGAGGGAGGAGCGGAGGAGCTGCAGGAGGCGCTGGATGTCAGTATCAAGTCACTCTGAAACGCCTTTCATTTGTATATTGATGATCAAGTTAAAATAAACAAGCTATTATATCAAAAACAGGTATAAAATACAAGAATAAAAGCAGGCTTATACCTTCAACACTTCTTAGCAACTTCAGTGTTCTGCTGTGCTGTGGTTAATCAGTGTCCCTGTCTCGGATCAGCTTAAATAGTCTCTGTGCTTACCGCTCAGCTAGGCTAACCCAGCCTTTAGAGAAGGATGACCAGTTTAAGGCCACCGTTTTCCAATCCAAACAACCACCAGACCCTCAAGCAGGGAGCTTATCCTTGTAAGCTTTAAAGGGGTTTGTTTCCTTTTTTTAATTAAACAATAACCATGAGAACTCAGGTCTCCCTCAGCTACAAGCCCCTACCACCACCATGAGAAGAACATCCGAAACCCAGTGGGCTTAAATCGAGAACACATAACAGAAACAGAAACAAGATTGGTTCTGTAATGCAGGCGTTTGTATGAAATTCAAAAAGTGTTAATCCCATGGAATTTGCATTGAATCCTGTAATTAGAGGCACTGGAGCTGCATGGCCTTCTTTGAAGAAGTAAAGTGAAAGGCTTACGTGTTAACCCTAACTTGTTCATTTGCTTAAACTGTGCTTTTGCAGAGTGCTTCAGATGTTACATCCAGGGATTTGGTGAGATTAAACAATGCAAAAAGCTTTAAGCCCCTCCACCATGATGCATTATTTCATTAAAACTCCAACAGAACAGCAAACATGCAAACTGCCTACTCAGCTGTATTTCATTTTGCTAAACCGACATCAGCAAAGATTTAGGAAGATGTGGAAAGCTGTTAAGCACCCAGGTCAGACGTACAGGGGCTAATTGACCTATTTAAGCTTTGCATGTCATCACCAAACGCTCTTATCCTGCATAATGTTTAATACGTGTCTCCTAACCTTATCCGGAGTCAGCTTCAAACAAAACAAAGTATGCAAAAAAACAGTTGAATCAAACCCATGTTTTTCAAAGTGTAATGGTCGAGTGTAATTGATGGAGGTTTTCTCTGTGTGTTTACAGAGTCTGGATGTTCTTCTGCAACACCCGGATGACAACAGGAACCAGATTCGGGAGCTGGCCCAGACGCTAATGGACGGAGGAGTTCTGGATGAACTAATACAGCAGAAACTAGACGCCTTCAACACACGATGGGATGAGCTCATGGCGAGGGTAAGACAAATTCTTTCATACAAAAAAAACTGTTGTCTAATTATTTATCACCCCCTTACTTTGCTTTGTGTGGTCTGTCAGTGTTGGCTCTTATCGAACATGCTACAATTATTGGGGTATGTTGCTGTCTTATCCTGGAAAATCAAGTTGTTGTCATTTAGGAAGCAAATATGTATTCTTAGGGGATTAACATTTTAAATGTCACATTATTTCATCTCCTTAGACCTGAAGCATGGACACACTTAGGTCAGATGGCACGCTAAAGCCTGGTTAAATCACCTCTTAGATGCAAATAGTTCAATAATATATGCAAGCAGAGACATTGCAGGGTTTATGGTTATGATATATGTTAGCATTAGCATCAGCCATCAATTCCTGTTGGGTTTTTAGTTGTTGCTTACTAAACATGAGTTGTCACATCGTTGGACTTCTGTCCTACATTTCTCTCACAGTCAGAATTTTGCTGCAGGCTGTCGTTGGTTGCTTTAAGACAAGTTTACAGTACAACGTTGGGCAAGTGTTCCGATAGATAACCAAAGAAAAAAGCCTTTGAGCACAGCATGTACATGTGGACTGGAAATGCTGGCAACTGCAAGATAAACCAAACGTGGTCCTTATACCAAAAATACAACTGGTTTAGTTTTTCTGACAAAGATTCAACCATGTTGTTTACGAATAGACGTCACACAGTGTAAAGGGGCCTTTAAAATCAAGCCATCAACTTTCCTTATAGAATGAGCATGACCCCCAGCTACCCGCATTTCCTTATTGAGCTGCAAAACAACAATATATATAAGTGATGAAACTAGGGATGTCCCGATCACCTTTTTTTGCTCCCGATCCGATTCCGATCATTTGATTTTGACAATTTGCAGATACCGATTTTTCCCGATCCGATCTTTATGCAATGCATTAAGAGGAAAAAAAGCATTCAAGTTGTCCCTTAAGGTTATTTTTTTATTTAAATTGGATATTCTATCCAACATGGATATAGCTTCTTTTTTTCACAGCAGCATTGGATCAGTTCAGTTGTGCAGCATTGGATCAAAACTAAATAAAGCTTATCAGTACTCGTTAGCTTACTGCTACAATTAGACACTGCGCCCACTCTGTTGCCAGATTTGAGAGAAATAAGCAACCAGGTCTATGAAAACAAGCCCCAAAGAAGCAACACATACATGATGTTGTGTAATTTGAAACCAAAACTAAGGCCTCAGGATGACTTTAAGACTTGAACATGATCATTTTTGTTTTGTAACATTGAATACAAAATAAAAAAATAAAAAAATCCCGATCCCCGATCTTTTTTCTCCCGATTCCGATCTTTTGAAAATCACGTGATCGACTCCGATCCCCGATCACGTGATCGGATCGGGACATCTCTAGATGAAAAAGTAGCAGAGAGTTGATAGGGTTCCATTTAAAGGACAACAGACGGGGTCAACATCTGAGAACACATTTCAAGAAACTTCCATTTTTATTACAAATGATAAAACCAGCTCAACAATTCTCTTTGGAAAATGTACGTTTTATTCTCTGTCAGTATTTGGCACGTCCTCATTTGGCCTTGATGACATCATGTTCCCGAGCTGGCACGGACTCCACCAGTTTGTTAAAAATCTGACGACACATGTTATCCCAGCATGAACTGACAGTGTTCCAAAGAGCCTCTTATGATGTTGCATAACGCTTGGCTTTCTCACTGTTGTCCTCAATGTTCGATGGGGGTGAGGTCAGGTGACTGTGGAGGAAAAGGCACAATACTCAGGACTTGTTCATGTTTGCTCTTCAAGTGGGTGCATTAAGGGTCATTATCCTCCTGCTCTAAAATGCTCTATCTCCGAAGAATGGAGCGATTTTATTCTGGGCTTGATAAACTGCAGTATCATTCTCTCAACCGTCCTCTCCTCACATCCCCCACATCTGTTGCTGCCATAAATCCCATTCTTGGATTCATCAGTTTATAGGACTTTCTCCACCTCTACATGTTTGTGTTTCTCAGCCCACTCAAAGCGTTTCACCTCGCTTCCCCTCCTGAGAAGTCCTTCTTTTGATCGTGCTCTTGCGTTCCTTATTTGGCAAATTCTGTTCCATCTATCTCTGGACCAAGCTTGATGTATTGATCTTCTGATGCTGAGGTCATGTTTGGTCTGCCTGATCGTGCTTTGGATAAAACCGATCCAGTTCCATGCACTGCCCCTTTGGAAACCTTTAGTCCTGAGGCTGAGCTTAGAATCAAATCAGTCTGAGTGTCATGGAGTACTATATGTTTAACTATTTTCAACCATTTTATTGACCAGACAATGAATGTATATTAACAAAAAATACATCTGAATATATTCCTTATTTTCCGCCATATTCACATTTTTCTTCCTGCTATTCTCTCACGTTACCCTTCTCTTATTCATCACACCTTTCCAATGGTTTCTCTATTCCACACAACCCTCCTCTCCTTTCTCCCTCTCCTTCCCCAGCTCCGTCTGTCTTCTCTTAATTGATTGTCTCTTCCTCCACCCCTGCACTCTCTCCTCCTCTTCGTAATCTTCCTCCTCCTCCTCTTCCCCTTTCAACGTCTTCCTTCCAGCCCTCATCAGCTGGCATCAGCGGCCGCGATACATTCTCAGCCTCTTGTGGTGATCCTCAGCGACAGATTAGACATTCTTGCACCCACACACACACACACACACACACACACACACACACACACACACACACACACACACAGAGACACACACTCATTGCCATTGCCCGCTGGGTTGATCCTCCCTCACAATAGCACCAGATTAATGTTCTCCTTGCAGCCTGATAAGCCTCCCTTTGTTTGTCTACCCGTCAGAGACATTGTGTGTGTGTGTGTGTGTGTGTGTGTGTGTGTGTGTGTGTGTGTGTGTGTGTGTGTGTGTGTGTGTGTGTGTGTGTGTGTGTGTGTGTGTGTGTGTGTGTTTTATTTCAGACTTTTTTGTATTTTCTGGTTTGGAAGTGTCATTGTGTGTGTTATCAGAAGCCGGTGTGCTTTGTTCCGCGGCGTGTGTCAGCATGTGAGGTGAGGCGGGGGGGCTGTTTGTTTGTTTGTCATCTATAAAGAGGGAGACAGGAAGCGGGTGTTTGAGAGTCACTCTGGAAAGACAGAGGCAGGAGCAAAAGCACACAGACCAAAATATTGCCTTAATATTTCCTCTCTTTTGACCGGAGGGAACTGTAGGAGGGATTTCTTTTTGAAATGTATTTCTTTCAAACTTGGATCGTTGTGTGGTTTCAGGAACGGTCATTTGTCATCCTACCACAAGACAGACACTAGACAAATCACCTAGAAGGAAAACTGACATGAAGTTTTTTTTATTAAAACAAACACCTTAAATCACTAAAACCGTCTTTGAATGGAGCTTTCCAAAAAGATGTTTAATGAGGTGAACATATACTGATAAATCTGTTAAGGCATCACAGAAATAAAGGATTTTTGAAGAAAAATACACAGTTAATGCTTATTTTTTGGATTAAGAAATACTTTTAATTATCCCAGGGGAAATTGGGCGTTCATGGCAGTTGTTAAATTTTAAAATGAACTCCAAAGAAAACTAAATGAAATGACATATTGATATACGCTCTGAAACCTCTCCATAAAAGCAAAATGCATGTGTTTGTAGCCATATGTACAGTGGGGCAAAAAAGTATTTAGTCAGCCACCAATTGTGCAAGTTCTCCCACTTAAAAAGATGAGAGGGCCTGTAATTTTCATCCTAGGTATACCTCAACTATGAGAGACAAAATGAGAAGAAAAAAATCCAGAAAATCACATTGTCTGATTTTTAAAGAATTTATTTGCAAATGATGGTGGAAAATAAGTATTTGGTCAATAACAAAAGTTAATCTCAATACTTTGAGCAATAGCTCACGACAGGCCGTGGTATATGCTCATTATATCACAGC